TCAGGCGACAGCGCCAGCCCCGGGCCCACGGCACAAGGCGCTCAGGTGGCCCCAGCCCCGGCCCTAGGGCACATGCCGGTGCCGGGTGCAAGGGCATCCCAGTCCCCTGGCGTGCTCCCGGACGCGCAGTCCTGCCCCCGGGCGCCCGGCGCGTGAGTTGCCCCGCCCCCGGGGCTGGGAGCCTCTAAAGGTTGGGGACCACTGCTTTAATAATATAAATTTCACTCTTGTGAAACATTTAAAATGTAGCAGTAGTAACAAACAAACAAAAAACTAAATGGAGGACTGCAATAATATGTATGCTAGAATAAACAGCTACTAAAATTAGGTATGGGATAAAGACCCTTTCAACTATATGCAAGCATAGGAAAGACAAAGAGCGTACTCTAGTCCAGTGTTTCTTAATCTTTTTGATACCTGGCCTCTGCCTTCCTAAACTGTGTCAGGGAGATCTCAGGGAGCCAGCACCACAGATCACTCCCTGAGAAACACTACTTTCGTCTAGAACAGTAGTAGGCTGCATGCTCCCCTTCAGGGTTCTTGTGTGGCCCACGAGACATTTAGTTTATTATTGCCCTTGCACAGGGTTGCCAGATTCTGCTGGGTTCAATCCGCATATTACTAAAGTGGCATGCTTGTAAAGCAAGGGTGGGGAACCTTTTTGGGGCGGGGGCTGCTGACCCACATAAAAATCAGTCAGGTGGGAGGCAGTGGGGGTCTGGAATGCCAGTGCAGTCTTCCCAATGGGGGAGGGGAGGAGCCCCGAGCCCCTGGGGGCCAGATCTAGGCAAGCTGGGGGACTGCATTTGGCCCCTGGGCCTTAGGTTCACCATCCCTGTTGTAAAGCAAGGACACATGGAATGATGTGAGCGCTGATTGCACTAGGGATGTTAAAGACTAGTCGACCTTCCGATAAGCAAATGCTTATCAGATAGTCAGTCAACTAGTCAATTCCTCCTGCTTTGCTGCCTCTATCAGAGTCAGTAAAGGGGGGGGGAGAAGGGGTACTTCAAAGAAGAGGTACTCCAAGGAGGCATTTCAAAGGGGGCTGCCCCTTTAAAACACCACCTCTGGCATTTCAAAGGGGCAGCTGCCAAGGAGCCCGGGGTCAGCTGGGGACTCCCCAGCTGATCTGGGTTCCACTGTAATTCTGCATGGAACCTGAGGTCAGCTGGAGAGTCCCACGCTGACCCTGGGCTCCATGGCTTTGAAATGCACAAGAGTCCCTGCTGCGGACTCTTGTACATTTCAAAGCAGACACGCCAGTGTGGAGCCCAGAGTCAGTGGGACTTCCCACTGGCCCCGGCTGCAGGCGGAGTTCTGCATTCCTCCTTTGAAATGCACAAAAAGGAGAAATGCAGAAGTGCCTATCGAGTAGTCGATGGAAATTCCATCAACCACTCGACTAGTCAATTAACCGCAATTTAACATCTCTAGAGTGCACACTACATTGACTGTGACAGTCGTGCATGTCCTCTGCCTCCGATCGAAATGCTGCTACAGTTCAATCGGCGCCCCTGCAAATGCTAGATAGGGAAGCACAGTTAGCAAAACTACCCTACCCCACGAAATCGTCTTGGTTACAACAATCTTGTGGCTCACTGAGATGACTAAGCCTGCAAGACTTCTTTCATGCTGCCTCTTATGCTGGGAGAGTTCTTCCTGATCTTGTGCATCATCTCACCTTTATTTCCTTCTTCTGACCCTCCCCACGCACCCCCTCTCTTCCAGACCCCCCCCTCCAGACTCTGCATCTTCATCCTCCTCCTGCATCCTCCACCCTTGCAGACCCTACTCCCTCAACCCCAGTCCACACCTGCACCCTACCTCCTGCCCACAACCCGAACTCCTACCCCCAGCCCGCTCCTGGCAGCCCCCTCCTGCACACTGAACCCCTCCTTTTTGGCCCTGCCAAACAAACCCTAGTAGCCCCAGGCTCTGGAGGAGTTAATTTGGCCCTAGGGCCTCCCCATGGGGCTGAAGCTTGAGGGGAGTTTTTTCCCCCTGATTCTGAGGGGGGGGGGCTACATCTGGGAGGGTTTTTTTTCTCCTCAGGGGGGCAGGACACTAAGAGGGTTTTTTTGTGCTTCTCTTTTGTGTGTGGCCCCCAACTAAAAAAAAAGGTCGTCTCCTCCTCGCCTTGAGTAAAACATTCATTGAAACTGTTACAGAAGCATTTCTGCCAGTCGAGGAAATAACCTCTATCACAATGGGTTGTATATTCACATGATTCACAAAGGTGTCATGCCACATCTCAGTTCCTGCCCCACAGTGCATTAATTCTCTTCCACTGCTTGTCCTGTAGCTGAGATGAGCAGGAAGTGCAGCATGCCCAGCTGGAGCATGCATGCATGAAGGATCACCACCATCTGTCAGGCTATAAGTAGACTGATGAACTGACCATGCCCTGTTGGGTTCATTTTCTAGCTGCAGCCTTACCTGTCTGTAAAGTATCTGAACCCATAGAGTAAGCAGCCCCCAGACCCACTCAAACTGTGTTCTTCACACTATGCACAGTCAACTTGTGGAACGTCTTGGAAAAGATGTCATAAAGGCCAAGACACCAAGGCTTTGTCTACACTGGCGACTTCTTGCGCAAGAACATCTTGCGCAAGTGTTCTTATGCAAGAAGTCTTGTGCAACAAAATGTCCACACTGCTATGTGCGCGCTGTGCTTTTGCGCAAGAGCGCCCATGGCAGTGTGGATGCTCTCTTGCGCAAGAAAGCTCTGATGACCATTTTAGCTATAGGGCTTTCTTGCGCAAGAAATCCCTGCTGAGCGTCCACACTGCCCTCTTGCGCAAGAGCTCCTGTGCAAGAGAGCTTACACCTGTTAAAAAAGAGCGTAGCTCTTGCGCAAGACGCCCGCTCTTACCATGCCGTACTGTAAATTTCCTTGCACAAGAGCGGGCGGGCAGTGTGGATGCTCTGCAGATTTTTGCGCAAGAACGGCCGGACTTGCGCAAGACGCCGCGAGTGTGGACGTAGCCTTGGTGTTGAGTCATTTCCACGTCATGCGACACTTCCCCATTTCACTGCTTTGCCTCCTGGGCATCATAGCTTGGACTCTGAGGCTCCCCACTCTCCCACATGAACCAGGAATAGACCCTGTACCTCCCAGGTCAGTGCATTGCTTTTGGGCGAATTGTCTGACTGCACAGAGAAGATAAACTCTCAGTCCACATAGACACTGGTACAGCCCCTGTCACCATAACACAGTCGGGCTATTGGACTGCCTCTAGTACCGATGTATTCCAGCATGGAGAACTAAGAATACCGTGTGCATACAGTATTTCTCAGACAATAGGGTGGGAGGGTAGCTCAGTGGTTTGAGCATTAGTCTATTAAACTCAGTGTTGTGAGTTCAATCCTTGAGGAGACCATTTAGGAATCTGGGGCAAAATCTGTCAGGGATGGTCCTGCTGTGAAGGCAGGACTAGACTGTGATGACCTTCCAAGGTCCCTACCAGTTCTAGGAGATAGGCATCTCCATTCAGTTTTTTCCCCATTTTTTAATTTTTAACAACAGTGGGTGTTTTGTGGCCTCCTGGTAAAACCAAGGCACCCTTTAGGCTGTGTTTAGAAGTATGCCTGAAAACCATCTGCAGGCACCAAGGTTCGTCTCTGGACTTTGGCAACGTGTAGTTCCTGCAAAGCTGCAGAATAATAATTATGGGTAAATAGTTTCCTCCTTGCTAGCACTGTTAAATAATGAAACTGGGGTCTGGTCAGTCTCCCTCCCCCTCTGTGCTGCAGCCTTGGCAATACATAAAGAGTTCAGATTTACTTGGGTCTCTTCATTGGCAGGAGAGCTTCAATTTATATTAATTTGAAGGCTATTGTTTATATTTATTTTTGCAACATGGGGGTCCCTGCACGCTCATCTGCAGCCAGGTGTGACTCTCAGGCAGCAGGTAGAACAGAAGGTTCATTAGTTCTCAGGGATACAAGGTAAAACATATTTGTTAGTACAGGAACCAAAAGCAGACAGTACAATCCGCCTTGAGGAAAAGGGGGGCCTGGAGCCAGGGCCCTCCCCCGTATCTTAAGCCAGCGGAGACTAACTCACTCCGCAGCCCGACCCAGCTTTATAGGCAGCCCCACTTCTTCCTTTGTTCAGCTTCCTGAGCTTAAGGTGTCACCTGTTTGCATCTCCCTTCCAGGCTCACCTTACAGTGAACCTGGGCCATTGTGACCGTGCTAGCCTGGTCAGCCTCCCCTCAGTGAGAGTCACACCCAAAATTCCCATCTCCAATTTGGCACTGGTGCTATGCCCAGGGAAACAGATCCACACACAAAGTTACTACAGTGCAGGACAACAGAAATCACATGCAACATAAAGCGGACAGAGCGAATGGAACCCCCACTTTGTCACATCCATGTTACAAGTGAAACATTTAAATGCTTGCCCTTTATTTAATTTTTATTCTGCATTCACTCAACTAAATTACTCTGAATTCTGTCTGGCAGATAAATTAGTTTGGCCTGGTTCTCAGCTCTAATTTTACTTCCTAGTACATCTATCTGAGGAATAATCTGTAAAAACAGCAGACACGTGACACATGGCCATTATTTAGCCATGTTATAAAATAGGGATAAGATCCTATCTGTACTACATGTTGGCACAATTTTGAATCTGGGTTAGAATCTGTGTACTGCTTTGTTGCAACCACTTTACTTAACTGTCTATATTTGTAGCATAAATGACCATACATGAGTCTCCTGTTTCCATTGTAATGAATGGAACTTGATGATAACCACTTACAGTAGGGGTTTGCATCCATGTAATTACATTGATGTAGTTCTCATGTAGACAGGGCTCTTAATTAAGTAAGCTGATACTTATATTGTCACCTTTTGACTTCCTAGTAATATGAGTTTACATATCTGAGAGCAAGTATATCACAGACTTTAGAAGATAGAGCTAGATTAAATAACATTTGGGAGGTTTTTCCCTAAATCATAAAGGCTTACGTATTACAGGCAGCATTAATATCTGCAGAATGTTATGTTGCTGTAAGGGTCAGAGGAATGCACAAAGCAGTATGTGTGCTAGAAAGAATGATATGGATGCTCAGATATCAAAAGGGGGAGAGGATAGCCCATAAACTTTGGTAAGAAGAAAATGTTTGTTTTAATGAAATCTTCCAAACCAAAAAACAATGATCCTTTCCAAAACCTGTGTATCTTTGTGTCAGTGGAATAACAAGTAATTAATGTTTTCCATGGACTGGCGTCTGTTTTCCATTGGTAATAGTCATTCTATTATCCGTTTAGCTGAAAATAACACACAGTTCCTGCAAATATACTAAACACCAGTACATCACCCTTTCATGATAGACTCTGCCAGGACTTTTCATAAGTGATCTAGTAAGGTGACATGGATGACAGTTATGAGTCTTGGTACAGAAGAAGGTGCATGATGGAGAGTGAGAATAGGCTAGGAAGAAGAGTGAGGAATGAGACAGGATATAAGGATGACATGAAGGTGGATATGTAGGTGGCAGGCAGTGATCCAAAGGTTTGAGATGAAGATGAGAAATAGAGATTGTGAGTAGTTCTAGTCCTGCTCTCTGCTCAGCACAATTTATTGCATTTGCTGTTTGAAACTGATTCCTTTTGGAATTTGGAAATTCCACATCATGTATAATAAAACTCCTGTCAGTTCCAGAACTTTCCCAAATGTTTTTCAATGCATTTATAGTTCATTTTCCTAGTTATATAATACAGTTTGTATAATACAAATACATTTATGACTAACCTCCGTTCTCTGGAACAAAATCTTTCATGGTGTGACACTGCTAAATTCAGTGGAAATATACAATGGAGGAGTTTAATCTCCACTTTCTGTAGTAGTCCATAAATAAGCTTCCTAAATTGATGAATTCCCAGGTTCCTCCCTGCACCGTTCCCATCCATGTGCAGTCTAGAGCCTTTGTGATCTTTCCCTGACTGCTTCCTAATGCTGTGTTTGTTACATTCTGGTCATCTTGTACTCACTTGACAACTATGTTATCTGTGTTGTGGAGGGGGCTATTGGGGGCACTGAGAGGGATTTGAATGGAGTCAGTGAATCTTGTTTTGCAGAAAGACCTGGGATTTAGAAATGACACAGCTGAGACTCCCTGTAGAATATGGTTACACATGTGCCAGAAATTTCATAATTTATCCCCTGTAGCACAGTAATATTCTAGTGGCGTAACACCAGGATCACTTTGGGCGTGTTTACTGCAGCATCGCTCTTCTGGGTCAGTCAAATACATTTTTATTTATTATGACTGCATCTGATGTCCGAAGGTCTCGCGGAGATTAAGGCAAATTTGTACAGATTTTTATATACACATATGTATGCACTGATTATTCTAAATAATATTTCATGCTTTCAAATATATTGTTATGTTCTGGTCATGCAGTAAGCTCTGCAGAGGTGTCCACCTATTTTCTGTAAGATTGGTATTGTAGCTAGTAGCAATTGCCTCTTCCAAACAACCAAAACTTCCTAAAAAAAAGTTATTGTCACTATTCAAATGTGACATGTTTTTATGCCTCTTGTGATGTTAATTTTGTCTGAAATTTTGTATTTCCCCATGGAGGATGGGTGATGCTGATTTAGAAAGACAGAATCTAGATTGCTTAGAGGAAGTGTTCTTTTCGCAGTTAGGTTAGAAGGCCACTTTTATTCATTTTTTGCAGATCTTTGGCATTTAATTATTTACACAAGATTTTGAAATGAAGTGTGTTCTCTTTTGCAGGCTTCAAATGTTGCCTTCAGCCATTCATCTGTGAACATACAACAGGGGTGGTCAATAATTTTTGATGGGGGACCATTCCAAGATTTTTGGAATGTGATTGAAGGCCATACTCTTCCAGAATATTAATGGAGGAGGTGAGGGGTCTGGGATGGAGGTTGAGTACAGAAGGGAGCTTTGGATACGGGATTGGGGTGCAGCAGGGAGAATGGGGTCTCAGAGGGAGTTTGGGTGAAGAAGACGGGACTGGGATGCAGGATTTTGGGATGTGACCTAGGCTAGGAGGGGATTGTGATCTGAGACAGGAGACTGGGGTGCCAGATCTGGGAGGGGGTATAGGTACAGTAGGGGCAAAGGGTTTGAGTAGGGGGGGGCAGAGGGTTGGAGAAGGGAGGGGCTAGGGTGCCAGAGGCAGGCTCTGCTAGGAGGCATTTACCAGCAGAAACCTAAGGCAGACTGACAGCTGCAGGCTGCTTGCAGCTCCACATGGCTCTGCTGTGGGCATGAGAGGGAAGGGAAAGGGGAAGAAGGATGGATGAGGAGGAAGGGAGAAGGCTTCCTACACTGCCTCTGCTCCCACAAAAATTCTCAGCTCATATTGGCCCAAAACTGAGAGATTGGCCAATGAGAGGTAAGAGATTTTGCTGGGGGGCGGGAACAGCATTAGAAGTCTCCCTCCTCCCTCCCCTGCCATACCAAGTGGATAACAGCTTCTTTTTTTTAAAATGTGAACTGATCTTTGCCTAAGGGTTGAAGGAGATCTGTATTGTTAAATGAAATAATTGTTACTGAACTACATTTAAAAAACTCTGTGGTTCCCTTTTTGTGACCCACCATGACACGTCCTTAAGATGATACAGAATTTGGGATGTCTGTGCTTTCTCTTTCTTGCCGTTTACATTTCTGAATACAGTTGCATCGCCGGCTCCAACGAAGGCATGGACGCTCAGAAAAGAAACAGAAGCCATTAGAAGGTTGGTAGGAAAGACGTTAACAGACCAAAACACCAAGAATTTGAAGCTAGCATAATGATGATTTGTTTCTAGAAAGACTAATCTGAATTTTGACAAGAATGCACTTCAGAGTGTAAAAGCATGAAACAATGTGGCTTTTGCCCCAGACATCTGCAGCATGGCATATGCCCTCTTGCGGGGGATCTTTGAATAATTAAATCTAGGGCCTACAAAACAACAGAGAGTCCACGTTAACCTGCCTTTTCTTGCAAGTCTTTTCTGTTTTCTCCTCTTCTACCTTTAGAAAATACTTAACTATTCCTCTCCTGGAGTCAAGAGGGTTCCTTTTGAGTGATGTCACTGCAAAACTGTGACAGAAGATTATAAAATTGTTTCCTTCCTATTTTGATTTAAGTGCAACACCCCCACAGTGCTGTTTGTGTCTGTGCAGGTTTGGAGAGCAATGAGTCAGTCCAACAGATAAGCCTAAATTTCCCACAATCCAAAAGAGAGCCTGAATAACCTGTGTGTCTGATTGCATCTCATATGAAATCTCAAGGTTGCAACTGTGCTCAGGGATTGTATACAGGCAGTCCCCGGGTTACGTACAAGATCGGGACTGTAGGTTTGTTCTTAAGTTGAATTTGTATGTAAGTCGGAACTGGTACATATTGTAGGGGAAACTCTAGCCAAACATTTCTCCAGAGCTCAGTTTTATTCTCCCACACCTCACTTCCCTCAATCCTTTATTCTCAAGCTGAGGTGTCTGCTGAGAAAAGCCGCTCCGTGTCTCCCTAGTCTGCTGGGGGGGAGCGCTAGCTTCGCGTCTCCCTGGTCTGCTGGGGGGAAGCAGCTAGTGCGGGGTTGCCTCACCCCGTTTGTAAGTAGGGATCCGATGTAAGTCGGATCCATGTAACCCGGGGACTGCCTGTACTCTATTAGCAACAGGCAAAACATGTCATGGTAGGAATTCATATTAAGTGTGAGGAATTGCTTGTTTTGGCAGAGTTCCAATTATGCCATTTTAGGTCATAGACCCTTTCACTAGAGAATGGTTACCCCAGTGGATCACAGAAATTAGCAATTCTTTTAAAGGCATGAGCTCATAGAACTGAACTTTGTATCACTGGATCCAAAGGCCCTTAAACTCAGATCCTCGCATGTTTTATTATAACAATGGAAAAACTTAAATGATATTTAACTGTCGATAAAATATCCTTTGCAAATTGTCATAAGGGGCTGTGGTGCTCAGCATACTTACTGGAATGGGAACTTCAAATATGACAAACACAATGAAGGCTAGTGCACAAGGTAGCAGGATGCATGTAATTGCTGCTTTGAAATAGATGCTTTGTCTTTGTCTTTGTCTGAGCATCTTGTCTTCCTCTATGCCTGTGATTAGAAATGGAAAAAAATTCTCTCTGAATTAGATAAAATGCAGAAGACAGCGTGTTCCTCATTCATAGTTTGAGGATTTCTTCATCTAGGACAGTAATGCAGTACAGCCAAATCTGATAGAACATTTCATTAACACTTAGTCTTTTTGACATCCTTATCTGAATATATCATTTTAGAATGGTTCATGCTTAATTGAAAGATAGAAAGCAAGAGCATACTTCCAATGAGAGAAAGATAGTGCTCAAATTTTGCTCACCAATACAAATAAGCAAAATTGCAGAAGAAAGATGACAGTTGTTACACTATGAAAACTTGCAAGATTTGTGTGTGTGGGATCTAAAAACTGTCTTCCTTCTCCCATGCTTACATATGTTGCCGCTCTTGGTTGCTGAGCATCTCAGTGCTGACTATGCAGAGAAAACTTTTTCTACTACCTGAGCTGCTGTTCTGTTGGCTTACAGCTGTGGCATACAGTTGCTTTGCAGAAATGTCAAGCTCCAACCGTTTTGCCTTAATAATGCAATTTGATATCCCAACCAGAAACACTGTAAAAAGAATGAGATGTTTAAAACCAGTTGAAGGACATTTTTATCTATTTAAACAAGTTAGGGAAGAAAAGCAACTCAAAGACTAGAGAAAACTAAGCACTGGCATAATTGCCGACAACTGGTAAAATAGTAGGCAGTTTGTAACTGAATACCGGTATCTTGCAATGTAATGTTAGGCATGGTGATGTACTGAGATGTTTTTGCCAATGTTCCTTCATTTGAGAACTTTTTTTTTTTAGACTAAGACTATAAACTATTGTTGTGCAGTTCCTGTAATAACCAATAGCCATATTTCTTAATTGCTTTGTAAAGCACTTTTGGGGTACACAGAATATGGAAGTTGCTCCATAAAACTGGATTAGTTTCTGAATTAGGTTTATAACACTGTTCAGAGGAGGGATATGGGCTAGAGCATGGATAGTCTAATATATTTGCCCTGTACCCTTACAGAACAGAAATTTAGAAGTCTTTTGTTATGCAATGTTGAGTCAGCAGTGTGAAGCAAAGCCTTAGCTTTTAGCTTTATTGTGGGCACAATATAAGGCATTTGCAGCATTCAAGCTCAGGGACAGAGGAGGAGGAGGAGTGGGGATGGAGCATGAATAAACGGATTCATGGCACTCTGAAAGTGCTGGGGGGTGGGAGGGAGGAGTAGGCTATGTGGGGCTCCAGTGCACGAGAGGTGCATGAGGGAAGGGGGCAGACAGAGGGTGCTTGGGCTCCTGGCGGAACCCCAGTGGGCCACAGGCTGCAAGTTGCCCACCACTTGCAAATATGTGGCCCATTGAGATGAAGGAGGGTGACTCGTGGCCTGCTCACTAGTCTTGGTTGCCCTTTGCTGAAGTTCGGATTGTAGATTTTTGGATTGTAGATTTTGCAGTGAAGTTGCGTGTGGGTTTTACTCGTGAAAACTTATGCCCTAATAAATCTGTTAATCTCTAAAGTGCCACAGGATCCTTGTTGTTTTTGCAGATACAGGCTAGTACGGCTACCCCCTGAGACTTTACCACATCTAAAACACAGTAGTGCATTGTGCCACAGACTTGGGCTTTTGCACGCCTGTAGTGCAATTTGGGGTCACAGTTAAAACAATGCTGTCCCGTCTACTACTATCACATTTAACTGTGTCTGTGGACTACTGCATAGCAACAGAATTCCCCAGCTCTGTAGGAATTAGTGTAACTGGGACCATTATAAAGAAAACCAATTCATTTTGTGTATGTGGCTTGATACAGAATGAGCTTTCTAAAATCTACTGCAAGATCCCTGGAACAGTGGGTGAGGGCAAGCCTGCAGTTCACTTTTCTATGCTGAATAGTCTGAGAAAACAAAATCAAACAAAGACCTGGATTATTATACTATGAATAGTAATTATAGTTATATATTATGCTGATAATAAGATGTCATGATAATCTGACCTTACACTGACTGCTGCTAAGATATAGGAGGAATATTTACTTCTTTAATGTTTAGCATTGCACAATTAAGTGGTTTCTCACCTCTGTATCTTATGTATTGAAAAATAAAATTGAATCTTAGAATAATGTTACTTTATAATACTAAAATACATTTTAATTTTTTTTTTTACAAATGTATCTGCTGAGAGATATTTTGTTTTCATAAATCCTTTTGTTGCTGGCAAGGTATCAACTGTTTGTGGATAAAGCCTAACATTATGCCTTTTTGACATGCCTAAAAAATATAAAAACAACTTTTTTAAAAGTCAATCTTTCTAAGAGTGCACCAAAAAGTCAAAAATAAAGTTTTAAGCTAGCAATTTAGGAGAAAGATTGGATGGCTAAGTATGACTGAAGCTAGTTGCTGTTAGCCATTCAATCTTTCTCCTAAATTGCTAGCTTAAAACTTTATTTTTGACTTTTTACATGGCGAGGGGGGGGGAGGTGAGAGGGCGAGCAGGGTTGGCAGGGGATGCTCGAGACAGGCTGGGGAGAATCACTGGCTGGGGGAGAGCACTGGGCTGGCAGGCCAGCCGGTGGCGGCCATGCGGGTCGGGAGTATTATGGGCTGGGGCATGCCTGTGGCAGGACGGAGGTCTGCTTGTGGCATGCTCTTACCCACAGTGCCACGCAGCCAGCTCCCCTCCTCCATGAGCTGAGGCTCACCTGTGACAGCTCCCATGGTCAGGCTGGTGGCGGGGGGGAGGCAGTGGGGAGAGGCAGCGGCAGAGCATACCTGCAGGGGCGGTAGCTGCGTTGGCGTGTGCACAGGAGTGGCAAGTTGAAAATCCCATGACAGACAGACAAGAACAGTGGCTGCTTTATAAGATTGTCTAATAAGAATATGCTATAATGAACAAAGTTGGGTTTTTTTGCTTTTTACCTTTGCCTGTAAGGTTAAGTTCAGTCAGAAACCTTTGTTTATAAACCTCTGTTGTTAAAAGACAGCTGTGGCCAGTAGAAATGCTTTCCTTTGGATCCATGATGATTTTCAGGCTTTGGAGGGTACATTTAATGTTTGGTTTATATAGTGTTTTTACAAACATCTTCTGTGAGTAAAGGAGATTTACTTGTATGGAGCCAAGCAGATCAGAGCATTGCAAAGTGGTGACGACTAAATGGTTTCTGCTTAGCTCCTCTTTTGTCAGTGTTTTTTCAGACTCTGGAGATAGGAAAGGAAAAATATAACTACTAGGAAGTCCTTGTTCTAAATTATTTAGTATTTCTCTTCAACAAGAGTTCAGGTAATCAAATTGGTTCTGAACATTATGGTATTACACAAGCACAGATACACACAACTGTTAATATTACAGTGAGGAAAAATGACCAGATTTTCAGTTTGTGTAACCCATTCCCTAGGTTCTTTTCCTGAACTATTATTCTTTTAAAACACTACAAAATGCTCATTTAATGTAATTGCCCATTTTGTATCCAGTCTAACACTAGTTATATTTTTGTGTTAACTGTGTTGCCCATGGCTGCATGCAGTATTCAGTGTGCCATGGGTGTAATGTATCTAGTGGCATTATGACATTTTCTCTCTTATTATCCCTTTCCTAATGGTTCGTAACATAGTTAGCTTTTTTTGACTTGCATTTTGAGCAAGTGTTTTCAGACCCCATTCAACAGTGACACAGGTCTCTTGAGTGGTAGCAGCTTATTTAAATTCCATCATTGTGTATTGGTAGTTGGGACTGTATCTTCCAAAGTATATTACTTTGCATTTATCAGCGTTGACTTTCATCTACCACTGTGTTGCCCAGTCACCTAGTCTTGTGAGATCCCTTTGTAACTGTTCACAGTCAGCTTTGGAATTAATTATCTTGAGTAATTTTGTATCATTTGCAAACTTAGCCAACTTGCTATTTACTGCATGGGTTCCCAAACTGGGGTGTGTGTGAAGAAATTCCAGAGGGGGCGCGAGGCGACCCAGCCTCCCCCCCATCAGGTTTTGCTGCCCTGTTCAGTTCCTTTTTTTTCTTTTTTTTCCTTTTTTGCTCAACAAGTTTTGCTGCTATTTGGGGGGGGAGGGGGCTGAGGGTTTTTCAAAAATCAGAAAGGGGGGCGTGATGCCAAAAAGTTTGGGAACCACTGATTTACTTTATTCCCTTTTCCAGATCCCAGTACAGGTCCTTGAAGGACCTGGCCCACGGGTAGTTGGTGAAGGTAGAGGTAAGGGACGCAAACCCCAGCCCCATCTCTAGCCCCACCCTTTCTGCTGAGGTCTGTGTCCCCCCGGAGGCAGGACAACATGCTCCACCGCACGCACATGCCTCCCAACCATGGGGAGGAGAGCGGGTGGGCATGTGGTGTGGGAGCATCAGAGGAGGGAAGCAGGTACGCGGTGCAGCCCCAGTCCTGGAGCACCAGGAGAAAGACGAGGGCACGCAGCTCCAGCTTCCCCACCTGGAGCACAGGCAAGGTGGTTGCTGGAGGCAGCAAAACTCCACCCCTAGAACAACTACAAAAGGCATTTTGGGGGTGGAGTGTGGGCGGGGCCCTGCCTGGCGGTTTGGGCAGGGAAACCTTTCAACTGCCTAGGCTACCGGATACCATGACCTGGTCATTTATTTTTCTTCATTATGTTGTCTGTTGATTCCTATTGTTTTGTTTCCTTTTAACCAATTGCTGATCCATGGGAGGACCTTCCCTCTTACCTGGTGATTGCTTGCTTTGCTTAAGAACCTTTGGTGAGAGACCTTGTCAAAGGCTTTCTAGAAGTGCAAATAAACTACATCTACTGACTCTCCCTTGTCCACATGTTTGTTGACCCCCTCAAAGAACTCTAATAGATTGAGTTCCTTTTGTAAAACGTGTTGACTATTTCCCAACATACCATATTTTACTATGTGTCTGATAATTCTGTTCTTTACTGTAGTTTCAGCCAATTTCCCTGGTACTGAAGTTAGGTTCCAGAGCTGATCCTGGCAACTACTTTCTTAAACCATTGGTGCCACATTAGCTATCCACAATTCATCTGGCACAAAAACTGATTTAAGCAATAATTTCCCTATCCTTAGTAATTCTGCAATTTCATATTTGAGTTCCTTCAGAACTCTTAGGTGAATACTATCTGGTACTGGTGACTTTTAATTTATCAGTTTGTTCCAAAAACCTCTATTAATACCTCAGTCTATCATAGTTCCTCAGATATGTCACCTCTGCATCCCATACTGAGGGAGATACAAAGCCAGTTAATATAACAATAGTTGAAATACTCCACATTGCATTTTCTGTCCTTGTAGTCTCTCTAATGTCCGTGAACATTTCACAGTCACCAACATCCTCCTGCTCAAGTGGTTGGGACTAAATTTCTACTGATAAATGCATGCTTGTTCAAGCCTGGTATTTCTGTCTATCAATGTTCTCTGGTACAGTTTGATTTTTACTTTGACTCAGTGCTTTCTTTCTATCGTGCCACTCCCCCACCAGCATGACTTACTCAGGATGTGTCTAGACCACACCTCTCTGTCGACAGAGAGATGTAGATTAGGCACATTGAAATTGCTATTGAAGCAGGTATTTAAATATCCCGCACCTCATTAGCATAAACATGGCTGCCGCTTTTATTCAAAACGGAGATTTTTCTAAAAAAAGGCAGTCTAGACACGGATCTATTGAAAATAAAGCCTTTTTTGACAGATCCTGTAAACCTCATTTTTTGAAGTAATTTCAAAATAAAGCACTATTCCAAGGTTTACAGGAACATCAGAATAGCGAGCCTGTTGTATTTCAAAATAATGGGCTTGCTCAAAAAATGCGGAATAGCTTTTTCTGGTATCCCAAAATAGCTTCACAGTGTAGACATACACTATGACATACCCTATGCACCTCCTCACCAGTTGTCTTCACTCCTTAGTTTAAAAACAAATCCTCTACAAGCTTAAATTTTGTGTGTCAGCAATTGGGTTCTTTGTGGTTTAGATGGAGCCCATCCTTCCTGAATAAGCTCCTGCTTCCCCAAAAAATTCCCTCATTCCTAATAAATCTGAAACCTTTCTCTCTACATTATAATCTCATCCATGCATTGAGACCCTGCAGTGTTGCCTTTCTGGCCTTGTTTGTGAAACTGGAGTCATTTCACTTGTCATGGAGATTCTGGACTTTGCTCTTACTGAGCAGTCTAAATTTGGACTCAGGAACTCTCTCCTATTTTTCCTTATGTCAGTGGTACCTACATGTACCATGACCGCTGAGTGATCCTCACCACTGCACGTACGTTTGTCTAGATGTCTCTTGAGATATGCAGTCTTGGCATCTGGCAGGCAATTTACCACTTGACTTTTCCCAGTTATAACACACTTATCTATATATATTTATAATAAATGAATCCTCCTTTGCTCTTACCTTGCTATTCCAACTAACTTCCCTACCTTGCAGTAAGATGTTCATGCTCCTTGTGTTTTCAGACCGTACTTCTGAAGAATTTTCCACACTGCAGTCATAATCTCTGAGATCTGAGTTGGAATGGACAGATTACTAGATTCTAATCATATGCACATTTTCCAACTTGTACCCCATGTGGTTTTTTAAAAAATGACATCCAACTACCCTCTTTATTTTTCACCACAACTTTAATAGCAATTAGCATTGTTCTGATTAATAAAGTCTAGATTATGACAAATTTACAGTGAATTTGGGAAGTGGAGAAGAAATGTGTGGATCTGGGGTCTTGGATCAGCATACTGTAGATGTGGAAGTGGGTGAAAATGTATATCCAGAGCTAAACTTTCCCTGATCTTCCTATGTGCATGTTTTCGGAGTCAAGAGTTTGGTTTGAGCTCTACACGCTCTATTCTGAAAGGGATTTTATAATGTTATAGATAATAAAAGTGTGAAACTAATATACTGCCACCATTGTGAATAAATAAAATCAAGAAAAAGTTGATACTGGAGTAGAGTTATTTACTATGTATGGTCTTAAGATTGCTTGCATGGCAGTTCATCATCACTGTTAATTCAACTATATTAGAAGTTCAAATTAGTAGTAATACAGAAGATCATTTAAGAAAGGGTTCTGAGGTCATTAAAGAGTAGAGATATGTTGCCAAATTTATATTTCAGTTTGGCCCAGTCAAATTCATGCTATAGCTTAAATTGGGTAGAGGTATTTTTCGTTGATTTTTTTTGTTTTGTTTTGCATAAACCTGAGGCTGTAAATATTACATAAGCAAAATGTTATTCACACAAATTGTCAGTTCTTTGACACAGAGATACTGTTGTGACTAGCAACTTTGAAATACCTTAGCTGTAGGTGTTAGTCTTGAGATGGTATGTTTAAGGAAGAAATATTCCTTCTCCATATTGTTGTTAGTGACTCAGGGAAGTTGAAAGCTCTTATGACACTATTTGCATTGATTATCTCCTTATGTTTTCACCCTCTCATTTAAATGGTCAAAATTAATGAAACTGCTGAGTTTAGAGTTGCTGCAGCATATTGGCTATGTAGCAAGCCACCTTATGAATGTCTAGAAAGTTTTTTGAGAATCCTTGAGTATGGGAGATGGCATTCTATTTATTTTTTTCTCATTCATTTCTAAAAGCCTTCAACAAGTGATATTTTCAGAGTCGTACCTAAACATTAATTAACATAATTTATAAATATGACATGTCCAAGACCCCTGTACACTTTTGATTTGGCTCTGTTAGAATTCTGCAAACAAAAAGCAGTCCACTTACCTTTTGGGCTGAAGCTGTAGTAGATAAACAGTAAACTAAACACCAATATTGTGTCCATAATATTGACATGAATACAATATTTGTGTTCATGAAATCCTTTTCACTCTTTTTGCTTTCACTCATGAATCCTGTCTAGTTGCATTGGTTGGTAAAGAGTAGTGTTGTAACAGCTCCGGTTCCTGTTTAAAACTCACTGTTTGATTATTGATTACTTATCAGGAGAGTTAAAAATAAGATGGTTTATTCATTGCAGTTTGATCCATTCCTAGATTGATAATTGCTTTGATCCAGTTAAGAGAGGTGCAGGATTTGCTTACTGTTTGACCCGAATAAACTTACCTCTGAGTATAATTTTCCCTCAGTGTATAGAGCTTGCATGAGACTCAATGCACTACATAAGGATAAGCCCCATGTAAAGCATCTGAATGGGGTGTAACTAGTAAGAAAGACCTTTGCCTTACTGGGGTGAATTTCACTGCCCTAAATAAGATAGCTTAGCTGGCTGAGCAGGCTGAGAAGTTTTTCACCTGCCTGCTACATACTACATTTTCTTCTGTTCTGTTTTAGGTTCTTATATGATATTCATCACCATGGTATCCAAAAACCTTCTAGAATTCGAAGATGAAACAAGAAGACCACTGTTGATCACCAGTCAACAGTGTCACATTGTTGCACAAAAAACCAACCCACCAAAGAAACAAAAAAGCAAACATTCTGGGAGGTATTAGCA